CTTGCCCCATCTCTGTTTGTAAGCTTCTTTCTTTCTTCTTCATTTTCACGAGTTCAATAGCGCTTATGTTTCCCACCAAATTTTCGCACATCTGTTTAGGGTTTAACAATTTCCCACCATATTTTCGCACACCATAGCCCCGTTTCTGTTTGTAAGTTTTCTTCTTCACGAGTTCGATAGCTCTTCTGGTATTGTCATCATTGTCCTGTCGTTCTTCTTGGCAGAGACTCATTTGACAGCTCGAGACATTTCTTTTTTCCCCTTCCTTCTTCTTCACAGAGGTATAGTTTTGAATCTTCTTCCTTCATTAATGGAGTCTGACATTGTAGTAATTTGTTTGTACTTCAGTGAACTTTCATTTGTAGAATACATTTAATTTTACTTCAGTGAACTTTTTGATACTTTTCTCCTCATTTGACAGTTTTTTTTTTTCTTTCCAGTTATTTTATTATGACTTGCTGGCTTAAGCTCTTATCTACTTGTGAGGATCCAGTGATGTCTAACACCAGTTGTTTATAATTTTTTTTTTTAATCTGCCAGAAGCTTTCATGAATGAACTGGTGATTTAGTAATATTTTATATTTTTCTTGTGCTTGCTTGATAACAGTATATCTATTTCCATTTGTATAATTTTTATCACTCAAAGTATCTAAGATTTTCAATGTGATACTATACCTGGAAATTTGAGAAGAGCATACACCCTAAGATACATGATACTAACAACTATGACAAGATCTTATGTTATGTATGTTGGACTTACGCTATCAATTTTATTCTTAGCATGTGCAGATTCTATCCTTTTTAATGGCTCAATTTTAACTCATATTAAATGAATACACTAATGTATGCTTCCAGTTTAGATTGTTCCTTCTCTTCTCCTTGTACTAATATCATTATTTTTCCTTGTTAAAGGCTAAGCAGCACCTTACACTTCTTTGTTTGGGGGAGATTTGTAGAAGGAAGGATCTCAGTGCACATGTCCATATAGAAAATATTGTTATTGAGTCCTTCTAATCTCCCTTTGAAGAGATTAAGTCTGCTGCCTCTTTTGCTCTAGTGCACATTGTTGTTGGTAATCTTCCCAAGTATTTGCCATTTATCTTGGACCAGTTTGATAATCAGTAGAAGAAACAATACCTCTTGCTTCATTCTTTTAAGAAGGTGTGTTGCCTTAACCAAATGCTATCTCAGATTGGTTGTGGTTTGTCTCTAATATCTAATATATATGCAATTCTTTGCCATTACCTGGCAGGTAAGTATGAGGCAATTTGTGGATAAAGCAGAATTTCAAGAGTCCAGTGTTGAGAAAATACTTAATTTACTCTTCAACCACTGTGAAAGTGAGAAAGATGGGGTGCGCAATGTAGTGGCTGAGTGTTTGGGAAAAATTGCGCATATTGAACATGTAAAACATTTTCCTACACTTAAGGTATCTGAATTTTATATTGCTACTGTGCGCTCATGCTTGTGACTTCCATGTTTTACATTTGATGGTTGTTTTTGGATAATGATGGGGTGAGTTTGTAATCACCTATCTAAATAATAATAAAAGAAATGTAACCCTGTTTTTTTATTTTTGAATTTGTTGTACGTGTATTAGTGGCTTAGTGGAAGATGCTTATTTGGTTTGAATGGTTGTTATCATGAGCATGCAGCATGTTAGAAGAGCTGTTGTCTTGGCATTATTTATTCAGCCTAGTGTATTCTTACGAATCATAATAGCAAATGTGACACCAATTAGACACATGGCAACAATGACATTCTATAAATCCAAAAACATCTTACATAAGTATATGATACACAACCATTCGTACGCTACGTGTTATATCTTCTATTGGATGCATTTAAATTTTTTACATAGATCTTAATTTTCTCTATTCCTGATTTGGCAAGGCAAGTGGTATTGTTTAAAAAAAATTAATCCCTCATGAATCTTGAATGACTTCATTAGGTAGTAAAGGCACCCTCTCTCCCCCTATAATAACAATACGTATTTTGTGCTATCGTTTCTCTTTTTTGAGTGCTTTATTTTTTCTTACCATTTTTTTTATTTTCTTTATCTCTCTCTTCATGTCCATATAAATAGCATCAATTGCTAACACATCCTCATTCAGTGCCTGCACGAAATTTAGGGATTGATTTGGAAGAAACACAGCTACAAGGCTTTTGAGCCCTTCATCATTCATTGCACGCATGCATAGTGTTGTTTTATGTGAACCAATCGCCAGATGTACTCATCAGATAAGCAAAATGTGGGCCGATCTCTGTTATTGTTTTATGTGACTCAAACCAAACCATAATTGTTGAGATATGTAGTCCCACATTGGTTGTATGAGCAACTAATGTGGCCTTTATAAGGCCTTGGGCACTCCCATCCTTTGAGCTAGCTTTTGGGGTGGTGTATCCCAAGGTTCTTTACATGGTATCAGAGCCTCGCCGCCCCCCACTTTCTCTTGTGGCGTTTCTTAGCACAGGTAGGCTGGGCCTGTTGCATTGTCCACTCTTCAAGCCCAATGGGCTCTTGTGTGAGGGGGCGTGTTGAGATATGTAGTCCCACATTGGTTGTATGAGCAACTAATGTGGCCTTTATAAGGCCTTGGGCACTCCCATCCTTTGAGCTAGCTTTTGGGGTGGTGTATCCCAAGGTTCTTTACAATAATTGTAAGTACAATTTAAAACATTGACTGCGTTTTCTATATTCTATAGTCTATAGGTAAGAACCCACGCCGCTAAATAAATAATTAAATAAGAGTATGGATTTGATAAATATTATGCATAATTATGATAAGACATATATTCAGATGAAAAGTGCAGATACCGGTTCCGCTTTGCGGTATAAATACGTTACGATAAAGTATCCCGAAAAATTATAAGAAAAATATAAATATTCCTGGAAAAATATCTAGGTCAAGGATTTCAAGTTTGAAGTAAGAATAACGAGTGTTGATGTCAGAACTAATAGCGGCTACGTATCAAACGCGTATCGGCAAAGTGCTGCGAAAATTATAATAAAAATATGATAATTCTTAAAAAAATGGCTAGGTCAAAATGTTAAGTTTGGTAGAAAAATGATTAGCAGAGCTATTATGACTAATACCGACGATTTAAGTGGACACAACTATAAATAGAAAATGCACAAATTTCTAGGGCATTTCTACACATTCCTACGTGAAATCCAAGCTGCCATTTTGCTCCCCACCTTGCCACCACCTTTCCTCTCAAGAAAACCTCCAAGTGATCACCTTTTCCCTTGCTTTCTTCACCAAAACACCATAAATGGATGTGAGCAAGTGTTGTGAGGGCGAAAAATACCTTGTTTCTGAGTGGTAGCCTCTATTTGGTGAGGATAGGGGGCTAACTTCCTTGTTTAGTGGAGTGGAAGCCATTTCCTTGGTATGTGATACTTCAAGAAGGCATTTTGTAAAGGAAAAGACCAAGATTGTGAACCATTTTCGTAGTCTTATAGTAGTAGAATTGTAGAGTGGGGTATAAAGCTTCAAGGCACTTCCTTTCTGCTGCTTTTAGCCTTTGGGTATATGTTCCATCGACCTCCATGGGAGGGTGGTTTATGTGCATGGTATGCTTTTATAAAAAAAATGATATATGCATTGATATATGCCTGAGATATGTGAATGTGACTGTTGATGTAATGTATGGATGTGATGTTGGGTACTTACATGATCAGGCAGCGACCCTGGTGCGTATGGCATGAGGCAGCGACCCTCATGTTTTGGTAGGTTGCAACGTGCGTAATGCCTATCCTGTTCTCTAGCCAGTTGAACGACACTTACATATATCACATGAGTTATGAACCGTGGGACTTGACTTGCTGAGCATTCATGTATATATTGTTTCAATTATATTTCCTGAACATGAACATGCATCGTATTTTAGTGCTTTGAACTTATTATATATGTGCAAGTGAGCTTGGGGCGGTAGAGTCCTTGAAGACCCCTTATCTTACTGAGATTTCTTGTTAGAAATCTCACCCTGTGTGGGACACATTTTCAGGTACAGGTGGTCCTCAAAATATTGATATGACTCCCAACCCATCGAAATATTTTTTGAGCTTAAAATCTCATGTGGTCCTTTTATTCAGGGATAACATTTGGATAATTTTATTTTTTTCATTTACAATCTTTAATTTGTAATTATCTTATTTTGATTGATCTGGATCACTGAATTAAAGTTGGTTCGGGAGTATCGAATTCTTCTCCACACCGTGGTTGCTAATTTTAGAAGCACTATTTGTTTTTATCCGGCTGGACCATTTTATCCCTTGAAAAAGTCATTTATTATTTTGTTCTCTTTCTTAAATTATAAAATAATTTATTTCTTTTTTAAAATTATGTATCAATTTGTTTCTGCACGGAACTAAATGATTTATTTGAATAAATAATTCATTTACTCGAATGAATATCAGTTAAATTTTATAATTAAACCGAAATATATTAATATATAATTCGAAAAAGAGAATAAAATGATACCAGGGGTATTTTTGGGAATCTTATTCCATGAATAATATTTTATTTCTATACATGATTCCATGAATAATATATGGGTTTTATAATTTTCATGTTGAAGGAGAATTGAAATATCATGTTGTAGAAATAAAAAGCATGTGGGATCCATGTGTTAGAAAAATTATATGTAGGACTCATGTTAGCACGGAAAGCGAAGGGTGTGTAGAAAAATTGTAATTCTCATATTAAATGAGAATTATAAAACCCCACATATATAACAAGGTTCTAAACGGGGTTTTTGACAAATTAAAATTAAATGTTTCGAATAATTTGATGGGACACAATGTTTCCAGCATATAGCATAACATGATAAAGATAAAGAGACACATTATTATTGCTGCCATTTTATAGAATATTAAACTTTACCGAGATTACACACGTTGACAAGATAAATTACTAAACGATGAAAGGAAATAAATTGAAAATTAAGAGAGGTGGCTGTTCTCGTACCACTTTTCTAGTAGTGGTGATGTCAGCCTTTATTAAGAAATAAAAAGTCACTATGGATAAACCTCAATGAGAGACCTTAAGCCCAGCACTGGAGTTATCCTATAATCACTGAAACCAGCAGAGAAAAATAGCTTGGCCCATTCTTTCTCATTCCTCTCTTTTCCAGGGTACAACACCATCACCAGAATATCAATGAAGAGCTGTGTTTCAATTGATTCATCATCTTCCTTTTCATTCTCCATCACCATGTCTATTACAATCACCTTTCCTTCTTTGCCTTTGCTAGTGATTGCCTCCTTGCATTTCTTCAATATTTTCACACATTGCTCATCATTCCAGTCATGCAATATCCACTGCATGCATGTCAATTAAAGCAACTTTTGATCATCTGAATCATGTTAATCTTAGTAAAATTACTACAGCATGCATATTGTATTTTTAACTTTGCAAAAAAAAAAAAAAAAAATGGAATATATTTTACCTTCAGTAAAATGGCATTAGCAGAAGGAATTGACTCAAACATGTCTCCTCCAACATATTTAAGGTTGTCAATTCCTTGCATATCAGCAACAACATGTGGAAGATCAAATACAGTGCACTCAAGTTGTGGGAATGATTTGGCAATTGCCTTAGCCATAGTGCCAGTGCCTCCCCCAATATCTACAAGTGATTCCAATCCATTGAACACTCCCTTGCACCTCTCAATTACAACACTTGCAACCAATCTAGCATCACTTGCCATGGCATCATTGAAACAGTGATTAAGTCTTGGCTCATGGCCAGCATAATCCCAAATTTTCATCCCGTGTGTCATCTGAAACGGCGTAGGATCATCATTTTGAAACCATGTAGGCAACTGTTGCCATGGCATAGTCAAAATTGGATCAAGCATGGCAAGCAAGAAAGGCCTTTGACTTAAGGGGTTGTCCTTAAGTAGTAGGGAAGATGCTTCAGTGAGGACATAACCCATTTCTAGCTCATTCTCGATGGTATTCTGTTGAGTGAAGAAACCAGAATGGGTCAACATTCGCATCAAGCGGTAGATGAAGGAGGTTTTGGAAGGGTGGATTGAGAGTGAAGCAATAAGTTGGGAGAGTGGCATTGGTTTGCCATAGTTGTGAATGACTTCTGGTATGCCTAAGTCAATAGCACATTTAAGGGACATAGAGTTTATGAAGCTGAAAATGTGATTCCATATGTGGGTTTGAGCTCCAAGTAGTTTGGAAGCATGCTCTTCTCTTTGGGATTCCATAATTTTTCTTGCCTAAACTTCTAGCTAGATTTGTGGTTTCTCTGGTATGGAACGTAACATTACTTGGGACTATTTATAAGGCAAGCTGGATAAATGATCGCGTTTTTCATGTGTACAATTTACATGGTAAAATATATTGCAGTTACTTTAACACACACAAACAAATGTATAAACGATGATGTGGGTCCATTGCAAGTTTAGTTGAAGTGTTTGTCAAATATTATATAAGCATCGACTCGATAAATGTCACGTTTTCCTCCTTTGACTTCTGGTTTGTGTTTTGATTTAAATAACTTTTTAAGTACGTTGTATCTTTATGAGGTTCTGTATTCCTAGCGAGAATAAATTTTGTGCAGCAACTAATTAATATTATATCTTATTAATAAAATATAATTATAATTTTAAAAGTTATTTATTCCCTCTCCTTAATAGATTATGAGTTGACATAATGGAAAAAAAAAAAACTTTAATTTTGTAATTATATCTTACTAATAAGATATAGTGTTAATTGATTGCTGCAAAAAAAAAAAAACTCTTCCAGAGTGAAAGGAAAAGTTAGAGATGCTCTATATATACCGTAAAATTATTTTTTCTTATCTTTATTTGTTGAGTTATTTATATCTTTTGTAGGCTTTTGTGAGTTGTTGTCATGTTAATTCTCACTTTGTTAATATTGCATGAGGGTATTTTTTTTTATTTCTTATTTTTGATCTTTTAAGACACTTTGCTATACTCATTAATTTTTTATGATACAGGTTTTTTTATACTAGATTTAGTGGAGATAGTTTTCACATTAAAAATTACGTGTTTTCTCTTGTCTATTTAACTTTTTGCACTCTAGGCAATATTTGGATATGGAATATTTTTATTTGCTGTATATATATTTGCTTCTCATAGGTTCTTTGAAGCTGGAAAGGTTTTATTTTGCCCATTTTGCCGTTTTGTTGATTCCTCTCCGTGCACGCCTCCTTACATGACGTCAGAATTTATTATTTACCTACTAATTTGCTTTAATGAATGATGGAATTTAATCATGGTAGAGTGATTATTTTAAATGACCCATTTATAACAAAGGAGTTTTGGTTCCAAGTATATAAAGCTTGAGAAATTATTTGAAACCACAAAAGGGGCAAGATATGGATAACATTTTCCTTATCTTATTATTAAGGGAGAGATTGAACTTACTTTTTCTCTTTTCTTTTACTATTTCTTACTACTAAATCTTAACTAATGATTATAATTTATTGTATCATATTTATTAATTAATTATTAATTTCCAGTAAATTATAACCGTTAAATTGACAGAAAACAACGGTTAAGATTTGGTAGTTAGAGATAGTAAGAAAAAGAGGTAGTAAGTATAATCTCTCCCTATTATTATTGGGAAAAATATCTATTCTTTAAAAGGTTTTTTTTTTTTTGCGGTCAATGTAAATAAGTTATCTACATTGAGCCCAAAAGAACGTCATTTTGGGGTCAAAATTAAGGTATTTTTGTAATTATAATAGTCTTTATCATTATAACTTTTTAATCTTCGAACCCAAAATGACTTTGTTTTGAAAATGAATATAGATAACTTATTTACTTTTATCGTAGAACTCTTAAAGCTTTATTTAAAAGTATGATCCTTTTTATGGACGTAATGTGTTTTTTTAAATTTCAAATTACAATTTTTTCCGCCATTCTCTCTTCTCCGTAATTTATTTTTTTATAAATATTTTAAAATGATATAAGTGTGTATTTTTTAAAAGAACACATATTTTTTCCTTATTATTATTGTCATCGTTATTGACTCAGGCTAAAATTCGAGTCTTTATTATAAGCTATTCTATTTCTTTTGGGGTTTGCATTTTTTATTTAACATGACACAACATATTTTTTTACACATACAATATTTTGTGGGCCCCACACATTTTGAAGAAAAAGAAAAAAAAAAGAAATTACGGCATGCAAAACGAATCTCTATAACATTACACAATCACTTTTCCTACAACATAATTCGTATAAAACCCATTTCTTTTTTGGGTAATGACAATTAGTAGTTGTCTAAAAAGTATTATTATTATGCAGAGAAATATTATTATTTTTTATACAAGAAGTATGTATGAGAGAGAGAAAAAAAATGAATAGTAAAAGGGTGCATTATGCTGATACCGCATTAGAGTTCTCTTTTCATGTGGGGTTTTTTGACCCTTATAACTCTTTATTAATAATTAATTACCAAATTGACTTTCATTATAAACTATTTTGAAAATTTAACCTCTCCAAAAAACATAACATCAATCTGCCCCTGTTTAACCGTTGACCACCAAGCCTACCCGGGTACACCCCTCCCTACTCGGGTATATTTTGAATTTTTTTACCTACTCGGGTAGGGAGGGTTGTACCCGGGTATAGTTCTTGACATCTGGAAAATTTCTTGAATTATTTATCCGGGTAGAGAATGGTGTACCCGGGTAAATCTCGACCAGAAACCCCAAAATCGTTCGAATATTATCGCAACTATTTCAAATATTTATAGCATCTTAATGTGTTGTTATGCACCACAATAATTGATCCCTATTGATTGCGCCCCAATAAATACGCTCCATCGTTGCTTGATTTCTGGAAATTATTCTGAAGTTATTTATTTTTGAATTACTATTTATTTTCTTCCTAATCTGTTACAATTTGTTTCCCTTTTTTGATGCTGATTTATTTCCTAATTAGTGTGTAGCTGATTTATAGGGATTGTACCCTTCATCTTAGCAAAAAGACCGATCTGATGTAAAGCCTTTATTCTCTATATATTGTACTAATCCCTTTGATGAAAAGCAAGAAAGAAATCTAAATTATTCAGAAAAATTATTGTTCCCTTATTACCAAAATTCTTTACAATGCATTCTTTACCAAACTTCATGTGCGCATATCCTTCAACAAAATGAGGTTGAGCGCAAAATTCTTTACAATGCATTCTGGAATAAGGAAAATTGCTTGAATTATTTACCCGGGTAGGGAGGGGTGTACCCGGGTAAATCTCGACCAGAAACTCCAAAACCGGAGAGAAAGACATCCAATTAAATAGGTAGCAAGTAGTGAAAATGGCATCGTCCAAAAACCGGAAGGAACATTGCCATGTAAGAGAATCTGAGTGGTTTCAATAAGATGATTTTTGTGCTCAACCTCATTTTGTTGAATGATATTCCGACATGAAGTTTAGTAAAGAATGCATTGTAAAGAATTTTGGTAAAAAAGGAACAATAATTTTTCCTGAATAATTCAGATTTCTTTTTGCTAAGATGAAGGTACAATCCCTATAAATCAGCTACACACTAATTAGGAAAGAAATCAGCATTAAAAAAGGGAAACAAAATTGTAACAGATTAGGAAGAAAATAAATACTAATTCAAAAATAAATAACTTCAGAATAATTTCCAGAAATCAAGCAACGATGGAGCGTATTTATTGAGGCGCAATCAACGAGGATCAATTATTATGGTGCATAACAACATATTGAGATGCCATAAATATTTGAAATAGTTGAGATAATATTCGAACAGTTTTGGGGTTTCTGGTCGAGATTTTCCCGGGTACACTCCTCCCTATCCGGGTAAATAATTCAAGCAATTTTTCAGATGTCAAGAACTATACCCGGGTACACCCCTTCTTACCCGGGTAGGCATAAATTATCAAATAATACCCGGGTAGGGAGGGGTGTTCCCGGGTAAACTTCATGGTCAACGGTCAAATAGGGACAGATTGGTGTTATGTTTTCTGAAGAGGTTAAATTTTTGAAATAATTTATAAATAGGATCAATTTAGTAAATAATTATTAAAAAAAACTATATTGGTCAAAAAGCCTTCATGTGGAGCATATATAAATTTTTTTTTTATCAGTTTCATCCAATAATAAAAGGAGTAAATACCATTTTTGGTCCTCAGCAAATTTCACGATACCCGCTTTAGTCCTTAGCAAATAAAAAAGTTCATTATGTTATCAAAAAAAAAAAAAAAGTTCATTATGGTCCTTAAAAAATTCAAAATGGACTCATTTTAGTCTTTTTAGAGACTAATATGGGTTTTTTTTGAATTTGTGAGAGATGATAATTTTAACTAAATGGATCTATTTTGAATTTCTTGGAGACCATAATAGGCCTTTTTATTTGCTAGGAACTAAAGCAGACATCGTAAAATTTGTTGAGGATCAAAAATTATATTTACTCTAATAAAAGTGAACATGATCTGAAAAACGCATGTGCTTGCTGGATGGGTGAAATCAAGCCGGCACGTTACGCAATGACTTATCGCATCCCATGCCTATGACAGTGATAGATTAAAACCCCACCAATATACTTGAGTACTCGTCCTTTGCATTTGAGTATATTATTGATAAGACTAAATATTTTTTTGATTCCCAAGTAAATTTTATGATACTCGCTTTAGTCTCTAACAAATAAAGAAGTCCATCGGAGGTCGTCTCTAAGATATTTAAAATGGATCCATTTTAGTCCTTTTAGAAAATGATAGAGGTCTTTTTTAAATTTGTGAGGGACTACGATTTCAACAAAATGAGTTTATTTTGAACTTCTTAGATATCACGATGAGTCTTTTTATTGGTTAGAGACTAAAACAATATCATAAAATTTGCTTGAAAATAAAAAAAAAAAATATTTACACTGTTGATAAAAACTCAAATGAAGGAGCGCATCTTCTTCAACAGGTACTTCTGCCGTTGAGAATTAAACACTTGTGTTTTAAACAATATTTTTTTTTTCTTTCACATGTTATTGTACGAGCCTAGGTGTTTAATTTTTATTATACGGATGTATAAAAAATTAGGTGCAGTTGTGGTATTTTAGAAATTTCTCAAATGAAAAATAATATTTGAGTGTTCAACCAATGTACCTGAATACTGTTACGCAAAAAAAACTCATATATCAAAGTTTTAAACTCGAATATATAATTTGGTCAACAATCAAACGTGACAGATAAAAAATATATTTTAATATATGGAAAAAATCATAATAATTTTTATCATGGATAAAAGGGTCAATCACCCATATTACACATGATTCATCTGCTAGAACTTTATGGAAAAAGCTTGAGACGTGGAAAAACATAATTAATTGGTAATTCAATTCGAGGTTGAGTCATGCCTAAAATATTTCTCTGTAAAAAATCGTGGGCAAAACCTCAATTGAATATCTATATATTTTGGTGCTTCTTTTGTCTCTGGGCCCTCCAAAATTAGGTGATTTTTAAAAAATTATTAATATATACAATATCAAATGGTAGTAGTAACACAGTTGAGTAAGTAAAAAGAAAAAAATATCGGTTAGATCATCACATGTCATCTTTAAAAGAGATTTTAAATATTTTTATTACTGACCCATCTTGCATTTCAGATTAGTCTCATGCCGGCTCAAAAAGTTAAAATTTATGAAAAATCGGAGAGAATCAACTTACTTCAGAGAAGTAATTAGAACTGAATCAAATTAAAAAAAAATTAATGTGCACAGTATGTCAGTTACATGCAACTTTAACCATAGCCTTGTTCTGGAGGGCTTTGGTGCGTTGCATCTTGAAAATGCTATGAATATTCGGTGGCATTGCATCTTGAGAATAACATGTTATAACAGGTTAGATACGGCTTATTGATTATTATATTTTAACCTAAAGATTTTATAATATTGTATTTTAGCAACTCTTATTAGGAGTAATCGATTTTGTCCTTTCTTATCGTTTGGCAAGTGGTGGAGCCACATGATCACTCTTTTCACTTTTCAAAAACTAATAAAATTATTTTTATAATATTTGAGCTATCACACTTGCTACCAAAATATTGTTATTAGAGTTATTTATTATTATTTTTTTATTTTTGTTAAAAGATAGTGCTATTTTTTTTCTTTTGTAGATAAGATAGTGTTATTCAAATTAGTTTAAAAAATATAAAAATATGACATATCATGAAAAATATACAAGTAGCCAATTTGTAACAATAAATAGTAAGGGTGTTCATCAACCGATCCAAACCGATTCAAACCACGAAAACCGAACCGAAAAACCGATAACCGAATAAACCGAAAACCAAAAAATCGAAAACCGAAAAAAATCGCAAATTTTAATTGGATTGAATCGGTTTTCGGATGGATTGATGAAAACCGATCCAATATATTAATTATCCTCAACCTAGCTACTTGTCCTTTCTCCAATCATAGCCCAAAAATTTCTAAACTCAAGACCCATTAACTCATCAACTAAATCCAAGAAAAAACTTAGTCACGTCTCATCAACTATAGTATTGTTTACTGATATTTTTGTATTTCCAAATTTTTTTGTACAAAGCCAATATATACAAAATATGTTATTTGTACAATAATCATGAAACTAATTTTAGGATATTCAAAAAATCGAAAATCGATCCAATCCAAACCGAAAAAAATTGGATTGGATCAGAACGAATTTGAAAAAAATATAAACCGAATGGATGATTACATGATCAAACCGAAGAAATTGGATCAGATGAGTTTTTCTTCCAAAATCAATCTAATCCAGACCGCGAACACCCCTAATAAATAGTATGGTGCTGGGCAATTGCTTACTATTGCTACGGGCATATATAGTTTCACATCAAGGATGGGTTAATGTTTGGAAGATTCACGTTCTCTTTTAATGGTTTGAATTCAACCTCCCTCTTTTTTAGCTTGAATTTAAGGGTCGACATGATACAACATGACACGAATACAAATGCACTCAACACAAATATGATATAGGTTTCAAATCGGGTTAAAATCTTTTACATGAACTGTAAGAACCTATATCACTAAATTATAAATTTAAATAACTTAATTATGATTTAAGAAATAATTCCATAATTGAATTTGGATAAATAGGGAAAGAGCATAATAATTAATATTAAGCCACTTGTCAGAATGAAAGTGTAAACACCGGGTATTTCACTGTGTAAATGGATACCGGCGAAGAAACTCAAAAAATAAAAATAAAAATATGAATATTACTAGAAAAATATCTAGGTTAAGAATATCAAGTTTGGGGTAAAAATAATGAGCGGTGATGTTAGTACTAATACCGACTATTTCTCAGTAGAAAATACAAACCGAAAAAGTGTTTCGAAAAATTATAATAAAATATGATAATTCTTGAAAAAAATGTCTAGGATAAGAATATAAAGTTTGAAAGAAAAATAATAAGTGTAGCTATTAGAACTAATATCGAGTGTTTAAGTGTGTGCCACTATTAATAGGTGGGCACTAAACCTTAGGTCAGAATACAACACTCTCCTATATAGCTTCATGGCTGTCACCTTTAACTCCACTTGAAAGACTAAGTTTTTCTTCATTAAAAAACTTAAGACTTCACTTTTCTTCTTGAATATCATTTTCCGTCATTGTGCATACTTGTTAGCAAGCATTGGATGAAGGGAAAAAGTATTCTCTTGAGAATATGGGTTCTGTTTGGGAGTGTTTTGAGGGTTGTCCACCATCTTTGAAGGAGTTAGAGCTTATTACACCTTCCTTGAAGTTCCAAGGAGCGACCTTGTGAAACAAAGAATCGAGTTTGAGGGCTATAAATTCGTGCATCTAGTAGGGCAGAACCAAAAGATAGCTTTGTGACCTTGGAAGCAATCTATTTCTCTGTTTTTGGAGCTTGGGTACCTTCTACACCCTTTTTTCCTTAAGTTTTCATAGCAAGAAGTAATGTTTAAGCATGTAACAAGAGAAAGCTAGGTAACCTAAGTTTAAACTAGTAAGAACACACTTAAAGATGCATGCTTGGACCACTCTAGATGTTAAAAATCAAAGCTTGGATGGATATCTTCGCGAAAATGCAAAACTGCATGTTGTTGCAAAATATCCGGATATTAATATTCGAATATGGATATTCGGATATGGCTGAAGGATATCCGGATATGTCTCCGAGGAATATTGGGATATTTTGGGATTTTCGTGTTCTGTGTTGTTTTGTCCAAACAGAACCGTGTATGATGAATTAGAATCCTTTAATGGTTAATGTGAGCCTTTGTAATAATTTAACTAAGTCAGAAACCAAGTGGGTGAATGCTTATAGCTTTGAGAAAGGCCTTCAGGCATGAAATGAAAAAGAAAACGTAGTCCATTTAACTTGAGATTTCAGGACATAATTATTGATGATATTTCTGGTATAAACAAACTGTGACTTTGCTGTTTGGTGACCTGTGGATTGTTGTGTGGGCTTCTAGCTTGATATTACTACTTGATAGGTAAGTTTCATGTTCTCAGGGTTAATCCTTATTTGTTCCACCATACTCCAAGAGGGGGATGGTAGTTTTATATAGTATATGTGCTTATCTGTTATTTGAGCTGATGAAATGATGCACTCTTATATATGTATATTATGTGGTGTATTACACACAAGATGGTAATACTTAAGTGTAGTCTGGAGATGCACAAGAGTCATATTCCCTAAGTGTGGGTATAAGGTAGGTTCCCTATGCTTTATGTGTGAAGCAGACGAGCGTAAATCATGCGTTCTCTGGCGAGTAGACTTGTTAGCACACTTCCATGATACATACATACATATATATATATATATATATATATATATGTTGTTGCATCATGTAATTATATTATTACTGTTAAACTGTTATTTTGAACTGAGGTTGGGGCAGAGGAACTCTTCGAGAACCCTTGGTTACTGAGATTTATGTTTAAAGATCTTACCTCGTGTGGGGCATATTTTCAGGTGTAGATGTAACACCCCGTGTGCACCCGGTGTATTAAACATATAAATTGCAATAATCACAGCTTAATAAATGCGGAAGCTAAAATTTTCCAATTATGAACATTATCAAATCAACCAAGTGGATTTACTTATCTTGTATGTAAATTGCAATAAATAACAACACTGAATAACCTCATAATATAAATAATGTATCAAGTCATGGAACTACAACCCATAGACCAGACATGTCCTGATACAATATTACAACTCCAGTATGAAATAAACACAACTTATTCAAATGTGGCATGAACAATCCCATGCTCACAAAATAATGCAACATAATCAACAAGTCATGTCTCAAATACAATAGCCACAAAACATAACAACAATGCATAAATCATAATAGTATGGCAAGGTGCATGCATGATCTCAACTCAACTCTAGCCTCCTGCCACTAGAGGTCTCAACCCCAAAAGTACCTATACCTGGAAATATGCCCCACACGGGGTGAGATCTCTAACGAGAAATTTTAGTAAGACAAGGGGTCCTCAAGGATCTCTCAACTCCAAGTTCACTTACATGTGCAATATAAGTTCAAAAATGATAACAATAGTATAATAGAAAAATCTGTGCAATGCAACATATTTCCATGTCATGTGTGTATTGTAACACCCCGTGTATACCCGGTTTGTTATCATATTACAGTATTAAGCGCATCTCAATTAAATGCGGAATCTAAATTTTTCTTTTCGATTATGACGTCATTATTATTAACCAAGTTGATTACTTAATCCTTTTTCAAAACATTGCCTGCATGTAAATTGCAATAAAAGCTAACTGAATAACCTCATATAATATATGTGTATCTAACCACGGAACTACAACACGCAATCCGGACAAAATCCTGATTCATTATACAACACGAGTTTAAATAAACAAAACATAACCAATGTGGCATGGACAACCCCCATTCTCACCAAATAAGGCAACAAGGTCCAACAAAGTCACATCTCAAATAACAATATAATGACAATAAAACCTAATCAGCATCCAAGTATATCAACAAAACTATGCGTGCATTAGTCAACTAAGCTCCGACCTCCTGCCGCACGAGGTATCAACCCCTGAGGTACCTGAACCTGAAAATGTGCCCCAAACGTGGGGTGAGATCTCTAAAAAGAAATCTCAGTAAGACAAAGGGTTCTCCAGGACTCTTCCGCCCCAAGCTCACTTACAAGTATAAATATAAGTTCGAAAACAGTAATTACAATGCATGTTCATGTTAAAACAATTAAATCATGACAACATATTTCTTGCTCAACGAGCCAAGTACTACAACTCATTAGTCATGTGATGTATGCAAATGCGGTTCGACTGGCCAAGGAACAAGATAGGGTTTATGCATGTCTACGACTTATCTAAACATAAAGGTCGCAGCCTTATGCCTTGCACACCAGGGTCGCAGACTGATCGTGTAAGTACTCAACATCAACTTCATATTTTACATCAACAGTTATTTCAACATATCCCAGGCATATATCAATGCATATATCATTTCTCAATAAAGCATACATGCATATGAACCACCCTTCCATGGAGGTCGGTGGAACAAGCAATAGATTAATCCGAGGACATGAAAGCTTACCTCGCAAGCTAACAATCCAAGCCAAAGTCCACACTAGCCCAAGGTCCACAAATAGCGCCCTCACAGTCTGTTTGTAAGAGAAATAATCATTATTTTTCATAGCCCAACATTTTTACTAAGTGTTTAAGGCTTTCCAACTTGTTTTTAACTGATTTTAGGCTGATTTTGCAGGAGGTATTCGAATACTCCTCGATGAGTATCTGAATACTCCAAGTCTCCAGAAAGTATCCGAATACATTCACTAAGGTATTCAAATACCACATAGTATCCAAATACTTTTACCACAGTATTCGAATACTTCCACTAAGGTATCCGAATACTTTTCTTTCCAGAAAAGTATCCCAATACTCCTTCAAGAGTATTCGACTACCTGCTGATGAGTATTCGAATACTCCACGAAAAGTATTCGAATACTTATCGGACAGAATGCAGAAAATCGAGCAGTTTGCTGCATAACACTATTTTAAGGGTCCAAACACAATTTGGAGTCCAATAACACCTCAAACAGATGTTCATTTATACATTTTAAACATAGATTATCAGTCTTTAACTCAAATAATCAAAGTTTCTCTTTTTAATGAATAATCAAGCTAAAATCATGAATATACAAGGGAGGTGATCATGGTATACCTCAAGCTTCAAAAACTCAGAAAATGGGACTGACTTGGAGCCTCCAACACAGCTCCAAGGTTCTGACTTTGCCAAGCCACGAATTTGGCACACAAGCTTGGTCTTTTACACTTAAAGATGGCTTCTTGAAGCCTTCACAAACCAAGACAAATGCTCCCACACACCTCAACAAGTAAGAACATCCCTTAGTCCCCATAAACAGTAACCACCACTCAGCAAAGGCCAGACTTTCACTCTCTCAATGCACCCCACTAAGTGTTTACAAGGTTAGAGATGAATAATCCCTCATAAACATGGT